TACGATCGGTTACATTGAAAAACAACATTCCGCGGCATTATAAAACCACACCGGAACGAACCGATAATCGTATTCAATTACGCTAAACACCGATAATGAGTTAATAATGTTAACAGTCTCCTTTTTAAGCAGGGGAACTGGTCGAGGTTCATAGAATCGATTCCGAACAGCTAAACAACGATCTTTAAACGGCGATTCTGTTCTCCGGCAAACGGTTTATCCGCGGATTCATCGGTGGAATGTATCGACGCATCGCTCGGGCCAGTTTCGTCTCGACACAGCCGGCCTTCATATTTCTCATCAATTTTTTTGTTAGAGAAACACAGATTTCCGTGTAATATCAATAATATACGCGTACAAGGTGTACCGTAACGAACCTGATCCGCTTGTTTACGAGATGCGACGAGTCCTGCATTAAAACATTAATTAACGTACGTCATGTATTAACGCGAAATGGCTCGATTACGGGGGAAAAAAGCAGCGACTCACATAAAATTATCCGCTTCTCGAAATCATGCTGTTATTTAGAACGTATTTTGACATCATACGCAATCTCCAATAAAACGTTTGTACCGATTGGTCGAAGCGGCCGACGCTCGTTAAGAATTTAATTTGATTTATCGAATGTTAATTGCGACAATGTTTTTCGAACGGGATTAATTTATCGGTCGACTTAAAAAGGGCCATAAAAACGACTTTGGGAACGGGCTGGACGAGACTTGTCCCTTAAAACTCATCGACTGCCATGTTAACCGGCGGAACGTGCTCGCGCGCACGTGGAGGCGGGTTTATTGAAATGCACGCGAGGGAGCAACGGGGTGGGTTCCCAGGTCGCGTGGACAACACTCCCACGGAATATTAAACGCGTTTACTCCTCCTGTGCCTGTTTACCTCGTCGCCGGTGCCCACCTACCTGCAACGTCCGAGCGTTGAGGTAGGTGCGCTCGAATTCGAAGATGGGGCGAAACGTAATTATTAAATAGATTGGAGTATGAATACGAATTGGTTTGCATAAGATAAAACGATACTGTCAGGTAAATTAAAATCTCAAAGTTAGATCGTAACTACTGTGAGAAACGTAACAGAATTTATTCGTATAACTCAAACCTCGATGAAGTAGGGTCAAACGTTTCGAGGGTACTTTATTGCTTCCTTCCTAAACCTTATCGAGACTTCGAATTAAATTCATTAAAAGTGTAATTTAATAAATAGAGAACATAGTTTACAATGTTGGATACATGAAATTAATAGTCGCATTGATTGATAACTATTCTTACAAAGAAATAGCGCATGATAAGATCATTCATCTTCTTTTACTTGATTCTGTCAACCATCAAATTACTTATGATAATATCTCCTAAATTTCTAGCTATGTTTAAATGTAGCTTGAATACTACAGATTGAATGTCTACCTGTAACTTACAAGTTTATTCAACGAACCATTCCTTCCCGTGAGTAATGCTTAAAATTCATTAAACCAGTATATCTACTAAAATTGACTGAAATTGTAAGCGCGCAATGAACTTGATGCCGTGCCTATCCAACAGCAACGTTAATGCATTCTAACGACCACCAGCAAGCTACCCGATGATGCCTTCAGCCTCGTTTCCATTGAAAGTTTCCCGCGCGATCCAGCTACCCGGCTCTAAGACGAATGGACGATCGAATCCGCTCTCCACGTCCGCCAAGCCGCTGATAAACGGCGGATTAGCCGCGTTTTGCGAGCCTCGTTATGTTACAATTTGTCTTCGCTGACATGGGACTGCCACCGTTTCTCGTTCCCCCGTGCAAACGGTATTCCACTCGAAAACTCTCATGGAAAACGTTCCTCCGCCCGTCGTTTTCTTAATGGTTCGATCTCCTGGGAAATCGTCGAGTCTTTCGAAACTGAGCCGATGTCGAAAGGCGAATCCGGAGAATGTTTGGTCCAGGTTTGCGCTCCCGCGGCTCCGCGATGCTACGAAGTACATTATCTGCGAAGGATATTTCACGTTCAGATCACGGGTTCCCAGAGGTTGTTCGGTTGACAGGGATATCTATATTCCATCGACTGTTAGACATGCGATTGGAAACGTTTGAATACCTCCAACGATCGTGGATGCGCGAAAAGATGTTCGAGTCGAAGCACAATTGTTCGCGAAGAACGTGGTCGTGTGAAAAATAAATCTGCCCGCGGTCTTCGGATGTTTCAATTTCGCTTCAAGCGACCTTTTCACGTTATCTACAAAAATCTTCACATCGCTACACGTTATCCACGCTTCTCTCCGAGGAAATAAATTCATCGCAACTTTCACTTTTAATATCGAGTAGAGCTGCAACGACAAAACACGAAGCGATTCAATTGAATTCAATTGAATTTCGCCAACGACTGAGATTCTGCTTCGATCTCGCTGCTTGCGCTCAATTAAATGCAGGACTCCGGCAAACCCTCTAGCAGCTACCCTCGCGGAAACAGCCTCGAATCCTCTGTTTGCTGAATCCCCGCTGCTCTCCACCCAGATGATCACGAATGAACTCGTTAAATCGTTCTCCGCGGATCTCGCGATGCGTTCGATCGCTCCCATTCCCGGCGTGGCTGTGCAAACACCGACCGAGGAAAATATTTGCACAGGATAACACGGCCCCTCATTATCGGGGTAGCTGAAGGGGTCTCCCCCCGCCCAGGTGCAGCGTGAACAGGAGCAACAAGAAGAAGAAGAAGAAGAAGAAGAAGGAGGAACCGCGTCTCGCTCGACGATTCGATGGAAGCGAGCCGAACCAGATAAAAAGAGATTCTCGTGTTAGAGGGACGGAGAGAGTGAGAGGGAGAAAAGGAGAGGGTGCAAAAAGGGGAAGAGGGAGATTGATTCGACATGCATAAATTAGAGAGGATGAGCCTTTATTCGCTGGGCGACTCACGGGATCGGGATCAGGATTGGAATTGGGACGAGAGAGGAGTATAAATTGATGACTGTAGGCAAAAGGCAGGGGTTTATAATAATTAATCTTCATGCGTGTATATATATACATACACCCTATCCTTCTCAACCCTTCCGCGCGTCCTGCTCGATCCTTCTTTTCGGTATCTCGCGTTGAAGGCATCTGCTCGCGTCTGCCATATTTTCTTCCTTCTTCTCACTTTTTTTTTCTCTTTCCTGTGCCCCTTGCTGTACGATTTCTTTCAGGGCCATGCTCGTCAAATTTATTTTACTATTAATAATCTGCAAGAGCTCGGAATCTTCTGTTCAACGTATATGCGCATTTAGTTTGAAGGAACAATATTGGTAATAGGGAACCAATCTTTTACTTCGAACGATGTGCAATGAATAGTATTAACTTTTAGGGAAGCTAGAAATTTTATAAGACCGTAACATATTTGTCATTACTATTTGCTTAAAATGACAATGCTCTAAGTCACGGTATTCTATTAAGACAACTTCTAAATAAAATATTCAAAAATGGAACTGAGAAGAATCATTGAATTCTTAAATGCAGCTTCGTGTCTCGTAAACTTAGCTAATAATTTCTACGGCATTAATTTGGTTTTCTGTATGCACAGCGTAAAATTGTAGTTGTCGCAAAATCTATGTGACGTTGGAACGTGTTAGACGAGTCACGCGTCCCCCGGGAACTAACGACTTCTGACGAATATCCAGGTGGCCGAAGAAATGGCGGTTCGCGCAGTGTCTACGGAGTAGACACCGGCGTCGAGGACTGCGATAAATTATCGAGCGTGCGAGGCGCGATGGGACCCTCCGTCACGCTGGCCGTTTGCTAAATTGAGGAATCATCCCGGGCGGAACCCGCTTGCTACGGCGATTATCGTTAATTGATAAATTCGATGGACCCGCGGTGATTTATCCCGGGACGCGGGACGATGTTTTCTAACAGTTGTTCAGCGCTGAAGCCATTATACAACAGACGGTATTCCGGGAAATCGCGACGAGGATCACGCGGACACGGGCCTCGCGTGGATCGGATGCATTTGTTAGCTACCGTCTAGCCTGTCAGGACGGGAAAGTCCTGTTGACGGGCTCGGATAATTCATTTAGCTCGGGGAGAAAAATTTCTCGAGGACATGGAACGTCTACTCTTTTCTTGAGTTATTTGCTGTGTCAGGGAATTATTTAACCCCTGCACGCCGGTGACTAGGTCTGTTTTGACTCACCGTTTCCGAAGCTTCATTTTCTTATTAAATTTCTAGTGGTTAATTTGAGTAACAAGTTGTTGTTTGTAGAATTAATAAGTAGTTCAATGTGTCTTTAAGAAATTCACTGCTTGCGCACTCATTACACATATTATTTGTATATTATCCCTGAAATTGCTGATAGTGTTAAAAGCTTTATCTTGCAGAGAATGACAGGTTCGAGTACTATACCTGGTGTAATGAATTTGCATTTGACGTTTCTAGAAAAATGTTAACCCGAGGTCCATATACAGAACCGTAGCATGATTTAGGTCAACATGACCGAAGCAGATTAAATAATTGGCTTTTTTACCAACAAGTGTTGAGTTTCGCACTCAAGCGGATTTTATCATGCTATCGAATCATAGTACGATTTCATGTTTCACAACTTATCTATCATTTCTGTCACGAATGTACACTTCGCTGAACGTTGACGTATTTTTAAACTCTCTTCGGATCCAATACTTGGTATTGCTGGTAGTTGTACCAATACAGTACAAGTAAGCAAACCACTTTGTTACATGCGTTATAACATAGTTAAACGCGCAACAGTATGCACGAATAATTCCAAATTCTATCCTTTCGAACAGAATCAAGCATTCTTTGAAACATCCATCCTAGGAACAAAATGTTCCAAGAATAAGTATCAGAAAGCAGATTTAAAATAAGAATTAGTCGCAGAGCAATCCAATAATAAATTCCTACGACTACAACGTGGAAAGCGTTAAGCCTCTCGCGAGAACCACGATGAAACCGACTCGCGCGACGATTCTCGCGTGCGGAACAAAAGTATCTCCCAGTAGGTGGTGTCTAACAAAAGGGTTTGTCATTTCAGACGACGAAGCCGCGGCGAGGAGGAGACGAACAGCGGCGTGGTCAGCGAGGACGCATCGCAGCAACAGCAACAGCAGCCAAGCTACGTGTCCGGGCAGCGCGAGACAGAGGAAGAGGAGGAACTGGGGGCGGAAGAGGCGGCGGCGCAGGCGGCCCAGTCCCTGCAAAGCGGCGCCGAGGGCGCCGACCCGGAGGTACACAAGAGGGTTGCTGCCGTGCAGGTGCAGGTGCAGGGTATGGAGGGCGACTGGCGGACCTACTGCGAGCATCCGCTCTCGGTAGCGACCGCGGCGATGCTCAATCTGCAACAGCAGCACCAGGTCTCGGCCGTGGCGAGCCACGGCGACGATCCTGCCGCTTCCTACGTCTACGAGTACTACAAACTACCCGAGAAGACCGCGGCGGAGGTCAAACTGCCGCCAACTCATGAACTATGGTCCACGTGAGTCTTTATAATTGCTGATCAAACGAAAGAGATCCTTTGAAATTTACATTTAACTCACTTTGCCCCGTTCACTGGTAGGCTTTCTTTAAATTTTTAGCGATATTTTTGAAATATTCAAATATATTATTCTCCGAATGTATCTTCTATAAGGGAAAAATATTTTCTTCAAATTTTTCAAAGAAATGATTGTGGGACAAATAGGTTCACTCTTCGACGATCGTGAAGCTGAAAAGTGGACGTTACAAGGTATCCTTGGGACGCTTAGAAATTTATTTAATCCTAAGACTGTGTAAGGACTTGTAGATTATGAAATATAGTTGATAGTTGGATTAAAGGAATAACTGTGAAGTTACCTTAAAGTAACTGTAATATTAGCAATTACTTTTCCAAAATGACAGAGTTTGCAGAAAGTTTCAATGGTAATTACTGCCTCTTGCGGGTATATACTTATATGTTTATCACAGTTTCAAATATGATTGACTCCGAATAAATTTATGCTATTTAATGATTTTTTCCACGGATATTAACTTTTTCTAGCCTCGGAATATAAATTGTGACGTCCGCAAGTGGATGACAGTCAAAGCGTTAACTCGAAAATTTAAAGACATGATAGCCTGCGAATTTCTACAATATTATTTATTCTATTGCATATATTTTATACTTATTGACTCGCGAGTTAGTACGTCGTCGTACGACGCGCGGCAGCTGCACTTACATCAGTTTCAACGTATACCCCGTTCGTAATTTTTAATAAGTGCCCCGTACGATTGCGTTATTAATGCAAACGAACGCGTTGCCTCGAGGTTAACCTATGACATATTAGTATCTGAGCCTTGGGGGCATTGCATAGATAAAAATCGCGGCTTTCCGCGAGTATACCTGCAACCAACATGCCTATCCAGCGGCTGCGATGCGCCGAGATACTCGGCGTGCATCGCCTGTGCGGGTGACTGGCGTTGAAGTCTCCAGCTCTCCTTAGGCGACGCGCATAATCCAGCAGTTTCGTTTCGTTTCATTGCTTCTACGGGACATGTATTTTCAAAAATACTTTCAACACATTCTTTCTAAACTGTACCCGGTTAGTCAAAAGACTTCCCTGTCTACTTTAAAACACCGAAAGACAAGTTTCACTTCATCGGATTAAACTTTATCAAACATCGTATCGCGTATTTCACTCGACCGCCTTCCGTCGTTTCTTTTAACTGCGCGATAAATAATTGGATGCGTATATATATATATATATATATATATATATATATATATATATATATATATATATATATATTCTTATACAACGCCGTTCTCCGAAGAAAAACAAACGCTTAAGCCAAGCCGACGAAAGAAAAACGGGCGTTATTTAATCTACATCGAAACGGTGCTCGTACTCTGTCTTACAGAATTTCCAATTCCTCGAACGCCCGCCTACTCTTTCTGCGGAACTGGCGTAAAATATCAAGCTGACACTTTCATGCAAATAATATTGCACAAAATGTCCGTGATTAAGGACCATCTCGCGGTATTAAAAAAATCGGAAACGCGCGGCCGTTACACCAAAAAATATTCGTTTCGCAGGGAACATTTACGAAGCTGCTCATAAATATTCACGAGCGACGGCTCGTTGGGGCGAATTTACGAGCCGATAAGGGCCCGATTTCGAATCGGTCGTAGACAAGAGAGTTCGCAGGATCTCGTCCCAGGGAAATAGCTAACGCGCGGCGCGCGCGCGCGCGCAGGATCGGTTGGATCCTCGATTAGCGTAGATCGCGAGATAACCGCGTGTAAACGTCGCTGAAAACACTCTCGTCGCGGCTCGCCGCTTTATTAACATCCACGTTTCCCCGTATCTCGATTAATAGCGGCGCGCACATAATTGAGTGCTCGCGGGTAGCATAATTTATCGCGACGCCGGACTATGTGGAACAATCGCGTGACGCCGGGCATCGGTTCTGCCCGAGGAAGAAACGCGAGCCGGGGGAACGAGTTTCCCATTTCACGCGAAACTTTCATGCCGATCGTTTTATCTCGCACTTTCGATCCCGCCGCTCGAAATTGAGATTAATGGACGACGATGGATTTTCGCGGGAACTGGTAAGTACATACGCCGGTTTATTGCGTTAGCGTGCAATTTATTATGCCAGTTGCACTTGATGACGTGCCTGAAAGCTGCGAGAAAATTATAACGTAAACGTTTCCCTTTAGGGTCTTAATGGTCTTAGAAACTTGCTTAGGATTTATTTGCCTGTACGTTTTTCAAAAACCGAGGTTGTAACGCCAGACTGTAAAATTTCATTAACTTGAGGATGCGATTATTCTAATGGGAAAGTTAATCATTTCGCTTTAAGTTATCACATTTACTGTTCGTTTAGTTTCAATTTTTTCTGAATGATGTTTGCTCGAAATATTTAATGCTTCTTTATGTAAATCTGTATAAACAGATTTCTCAAATCCAACTTCTAGAAGACATACATAGGTACTCTAAAGTTTTAATACACAAAATGAAACAGCTCTTGTATTTAAACACTAAGAAATGTTTCAATCTTCAAAGTTCCATGGTATCCAAAAGATCAATCCTATTACAAAGGCTATGAAAACTTGCTATAATCATGGCTGTAGCATTTTCACCGCAGCTTAATACAACTCTGATAAAAACTGGATTTTTCACTGTCTCGCAATTATTACGTTGTCCCTGGGGGTGGGCGAGCTCGTGCAAACAGTGGCAGCCGGCGATCTCCGCGGCTATCGGTCAAGCTCGATCTTCTTGTATCTCGATCGCGTATCGATCTTCGGCTTCCGAATCAAATACGGCCGCAGTTTTATCTAAACCATCCGATCGAACCTTCAAAATCAAGCTGCATCGTTCTCGCACGCACCCACCATAAATCACGATCCAAAGATCAGGGCACCGGTTAATTCGAATTTCATAACCGAATCCCGGTATCGTAGAATAGAAAGAAACTGTGCGGCCTATTTACACCGGCGTCTCTGCGAAGCCTTCCGGTCCATTTGCTCGGTTTGCAAACTCCGCGTCGCCCCGTGAGAGACGGCAGAATATGGATAAAGCGATAGAGGAAGAGAAAGAGAGATCGAGGAAACGTTTGATCATCCCCGTTCCTCGCGACCCCTTATTTTGGGTCTCGTTCGCGGACCGATCGAGTGCCGGCACCCCTTCCGCCGGATATCCGTACGCGACGGGGTAAGAAATTCGTTTCGCACCCCTTTCTGCTGGCGGCGGCGGCACCCTAGCTTCGGGCTTTTGATTTATATCGACCGCTTAGCATATTTTGTAATTTACTGTTGAGAATCCTCAACGTACCAACGGGAACCAAGGGCGACGTCACTTAGAAGCTAGACAAAGAGACGCGAGGAGAGAGTATCCGTGTCTCTTTCTGCGGCAACAGTGACATCAGCAAGCCTCCGCATTGCCATAGGGAGATTCACCGCCCTTAATCTTCCCTCGCATCTCCTCTCGGTGGATCGTCTCGCATCTCCGATCTCTCCGCAGCTCCTGGATCTCCCTTGCTCCCGCTTTATCTGTTCCGCTATCTGCTAGCCAGCCGCTTCCACAGGCTCTCTCCGTCTTTCTACCTTTCTCCATCTTCCTCCGTGCTCTCGACGGCTCCCGCGGCCTGCCGGATAACATCTCGACAATTTGTACGCCGGTGGATCGTTAAAACTCCTCGTGCAGACCGCTCGGCAGCACGAGCTTAATCCAATTTCATTGTGTCGCGGACGAGCCGGGGATCGCGATCGACGCGTGAGACTCGCCCCGGGGATCTCTCCATGGGAGAACTGGATCCACCGATTCGCTTCCCCTTCGCTGACTTCGGGCGGCCGCCGCTGTTACCGATGGAAACTGGATCGCGATTAGTAGACTGCGGATCCTCGGGCAAATAGAAGTTTTTATGGGTTCAACATTTTATCGAAACGAACATGTATTGGTTTTGATATCGGGTTCTGTTGCGTTCCAAAGATAATGGAAACTTTGCCAGATATTGATAGGAATTTCGTTAAATAATGATACCTATCTAATGTAATAATATGTAATTGAAATTTAGATCGTAGAGTGTTGTAAGTGCGGGAAACTCCCAGTTTAAACGCTCCCTCCTGTCTTCGTGTATTTTACAATCATTTTAGAGCTGTAGATGTTTGAAAATTCATTTTATCTTACCGTTAGTTATTCGTTCGTTATTTGTCAAACCGACAAGACTGTGATACTTCTGGTAATTAGGAAACGAGCAGTATTTCAAACATTTCTACTATGGACGTAAGTAGGAGAAGGAACTTTTACGTTAGAATCGAGGGTGAGAATCTTCCTCGGCGAACAAGTATATTTAAGTAATTGCGAATGTTCGTTTAAATGGCGACGAATCGAAGATATTAAGCTTTGTCAAACCTACCAGGCGGTTGAACGCCTGTACAAATGCGCCGGGAAGGTTCTCTTGAATTTTCCGTGACACCGAGAATAATGCTCCGAGGCGCGAGCGGGTCCGTCCAGCCTCGGGAATGCGGAGGAATCTAGAAAGTTTGTTGAAACCTTGGTGCGTTTTGAAAAATCGGGACTGATAGATCGAATCTATCTCTGCCGGCGAACCTAAAGATACGGCTTATCTTTCCACTTCCTTGAGGAATTATTTACACCTGAGAAGCTGAGTTTGATGCATCGTGAATCTCCGACACAGAAAAATCACAGCCGTTGAACGTTTAACCGAAAAATCCCAAAAGTTGTGAGATTCCTTCGCGAATCAACGCTTGTCGCTTGTCTCCATATTCACGCAAATTCTCGCACCTCTCATCCATTCAGCAATATTTTACTCGGAGAATTACCATCTTTAAAGCACAATTCTATTAATTCATTTACCATTGCAACATTTCCTCTCATTTTAATTATAAGAACACTTTAAATACTGCACAGTGTCAGATGTAACAGCAACTCAGTTTCGAACGCAGTCTTTATTTTCGATTTTATTCAAAATACTGCTTCCACGCATCCAACTCTA